TCACCACAATTTCAAAGGTTTATTTTGCATAAGATAAATGTAAAATAACCATTTATAGATATTTAAATATATATTTAGTAGAAATACCAATCGAAAGTAAAATTTAAAGCGGTTTTTTTGATCGAGGTATTTGTAAATTAAGATTATTCATTTTATTACAAAAGTTATTCCTTATATTATTATTGAACAGCGTTAAGTTTTATAAATTTTAGTGAAAACCGCTTGAATTGATTAATAAACATCTGAGTTACCCCTTTTTTAAAGTTTCCCTACTTTAGTGTTAATAAGTGGCGCTTAATTGTTAGTTACTTCCGGAATTCCTGCAATTGCAGGTGTTTGAACTTGACCTACTTTTAACCGATCAACATGATGGCCGCCGACGCAAGAGCCAATCAGATGCATCAAAACAGTTTATAACAATTAAACTTGCATACCTAAGTTAGTCACCCCGATGCTATGGAAGGGTGTACTTCGTTTCACAAAATTGTAGGCTATATTTACGTACAAAATTCTAATTATTATTCTATTCATTAAATATTATATCTCATTAGTAATAAATAAATAAATTCGTTCGAAAAGTACTTATATACAAATGTTATTAATTAGAAACTATTAAATAATAACAAATAGAAATGCTTCACATTTTATTTTTTAAAAGCTTACAAAGTGAATGTATAAACAAAAACTAACTACAAATATCACTTCACCACTTGTTAATATATCTCATTTCCTTAAAAGTAAAATAGGGCTCATTACTGGTAGTATAACTCCAAATTCATCCCATCATGGATTTCATCTAATTAAAAATCAAGGAATAAAATCAAATACAAAAAAGTACAAAGTATCCATTACAAGCTACATTAATAACACTAAAAAAAGGATACAATCTTGAAGTTGAATATGATCTTTGAATGTAGTGTACCACTTCTTTAAAACAATTTTGTCCCATTTTGTTCCAGTTTGTGCAGCAATTAATTTTTTTAAATCGGCAACTGTATCGTCAGGATTACATTTCACTCTTACCTTTTTACCGAGTCGATCATTGCATGTTATTTCAATCATTTTCAGCTCAAAACAGCCTAATTTCTTGTTTATCAAAAGCTGTAGTACATCGATTTAGAGGTTATGTTATTGATGCTAAAAATGTCTCAGGTCACGTCAAACATTTGTGTCTTAATTAATTGTAATCTTTACTGGTTTTAGAACTGAAAAATACATAAATTAAATATATGCATGCATAGCGCTAATTAGGAAAAGCATAATAATATTTCGGTATATTAATTAAAATTTAAAACGACTTCGTTTTAAACTTCTAAGTAAAAGAAAGTCGTTGGGTAACATTTGCGAGGTTGACACGTAGCTTGACGTATCTTCACGTAACGTGGAATGCTTTCGGTTGTGGTTATAAAGTACTGTCATCCTTTTAAGTTTTTTTGAAAAAGATTTTGTGGAACAGTAGTATTTTAGTGTTATCAGAATGAGTATACGAAACGAATACATTTCTGTAGCAGAGGATGTTGCAGATCAGGTACTTTGTAATTTGTTTATTACTAAATTTTTGATATTTCAATCAGATGGTTTTGTTGTCTGTATTTTAAAAAAAGCATGTAATTTTTTATTGTAAAACAAAGCTATTCTCATTCATTAAGTTGTTTTTGAGTAATATATATAGGATACATTCAAAAAGTTCTAAAATATGTAAATTATTCAAAGATTTGTTATCAGGAAAATTGTTTACAAATATTTCATATTGTACCAAGCAAGAGGTCAAATTTTTTATTTTGGAGGACGTTTATTCTAGTTTAAACTCAGTAAATAGTAATTCATTTTAAATACATTTGTTTTAACTGTAATATAAACTAGTTTGTTTGAACATATGTTTTCTATAAGCTCTTGTTCTTTTTATGGTCAATTTTTTTGTTATTTTCTTCAACATAGAACCAGTTTTCTTAAAAAGTCTTCCTTATGTTTTACAAATGAATTGTATTTTAATTTATTTGGTGACTTAGTTTTTAACTAATCACTTAGGATACTATTAATGAAAGCATATTGTTTGAATAGGTGATACGTAAATTAAAACATGTACTTCCCACTATTGCCAGACTCTGTTTAATATCCACATTTTTGGAGGATGGAATTCGTATGTGGATCCAATGGGATTCCCAAAGGGATTATATGGACATATCATGGGGCTGTGGTTACTTTCTAGCAACTTTATTTGTTATTATAAACTTACTTGGTCAGTTAGGAGGTTGTGTTATGGTAATTCTGCAGTTTAGGGTACCAATTGCCTGTGCAATTCTCTTCTTTATTGTGGTTTTACAAGTAAGAGGATACACCCCATTTATATTAGATCTGATTGTAAGTTTGCTGAATCTTCTGTTTTAGACCTTTGCTTACAGTATACTGTGGGACATACAATTTTTGTTCAGAAATCTTGCCCTTATTGGTGCATTATTGCTTGTGTTAGCAGAAAGCAAAGGTGAAGCCAAAAGTTTATTTGCTGGAGTTCCCACATTAGGAGATAACAAACCCAAAAATTACCTTCAACTCACTGGACGTATTTTATTAGCATTTATGTTTACTACGCTTATTAGATTTGAATTGAGTTTTTTACAAGTGAGAAAAATACTATATTACTAAAACCAACAGTAGTAATTCACAACTTCATATTTTTTTTTTAGATTTTATTAGATCTTGTAGGTTCAGCATTGATGGTTTTAGTAACAGTTGGTTACAAAACTAAACTTTCAGCACTACTTCTTGTATTACTACTTAGCCTTTTGAACTTTTACCACAATGCTTGGTGGAATGTGCCTTCCTACAAACCATTACGTGATTTTCTCAAATATGATTTCTTCCAAGTAAGTGTATTGAAAAATATAAAGGAGCATTAAGTTGAGTGAGGCATTATACATTTTGAGAGAAGTTGAGGGACTTGGGCTTTATTATTATTTTTTTTAATATATGAAAATTGCCAGAGCCCTCAAATCTCTTGTTTCCATTCCTCAAAACATCTAATAAGCAACAATTTTAAAAAAAACTAAAATGTAACTTAATTTTATGTTTATATTAGACCTTATCTGTGGTTGGTGGATTACTTCTAATCGTCTATTTGGGACCTGGCGGAGTCTCGATGGACGAACACAAGAAAAGATGGTGACCGATTCGACTGATTGTAAAACTTTTAATGACACGTATGAAAAATTTAATTTACCTTTAAAGTACAATTTTTATTTTGGCGTTTATCAAAATTTTCTAAAAGATATCTGTTAGTGGTTGAAATTTTAGTTAACTAAATTGTTCTTCTTTGTTGGTCATATTTACAAATTAACTATTATACAAATGGAAATATAGTAATCTTTTTAAGTATAACAGCGAAAGTGTAGGTTTTTATACTTATTACTGCTATTAGTGATACAAACAACATTACAAAAGTACATGTTATGTATATTGTAAAGCACAATAAAATAGCTACATTTTTTTATAAACTGTTCGCTATATTTTTTTTACTCACTCAAAAGTGAAATTAACAGTTATAAGAAAGAAAACGAGAACAGTACTTTTACACCTTATTTATTAAAGTATTTAAAATTGCTATTTCCGTAACATTTTTAACAAAACGATGCCTTAAACATTTATAAACATTTTTCTTTGTAAACGACATAATCAATTTTTAATGGAATTTATATATACTTTTTCCTACATTAGGTTCTCTTTTAAAGCTAAATATGTCACATTGGAAATAATAAATAATTTGATGCTATCAATAGCAATTTAAAATAATATGAAAACCTTCAATCTTATTTTAAATACCACAACATTTATCTTTTTTAATATTATTACTAAATCAAAAGAAATCATAAAAAGATTACAACAAGCACTTTTTTGGGGACAAAAATGATTTAAAATATATATTTATACGTATATAGATGTATATAAAGAGAGAGAGAGATTCCATTACATCACATTTTATGTAAAATAATGCTTCTTTTACATTCAAGCCAAAATGTCACATGCTTGTAATAAACAAAATACGTACTTAAAAATAAGTCATGTTGAATTTAATATTTTCTCTTTAAATAATAATCTATTAATTTATAAATTTGTGCGTCTTAACTATTCTGTAATTATAATACAATTAACTTCACACCACTGGTACTGATTTTCATAAAAATGAAATTCACATTGAAGCATTTCCACACTTGTAGTTGTTTATATTTTCCTTAGACGAGAAAAGACATAAATGCCTGAAAAGAAAATAAGCATTTTCAGAAACGACCATTAAGTCATTTCGTTTCCTTTAAACGATGTTATGTAATAGTACTACTAGATTTATAGAAAGATAACTTACCAACAAATTATTACATTGCACGATAGGGACCTTGCATTTTTAAATACTGTATGACCAAGGAAGGTCCGCCAGCAACTATTTCTTGTGGAATTTGAGACAGCGGACAATTTTCAATACTCATGATCTGTAAATTTGAACAGAGAGCAAGTTCAAAGGGCAAATGATGTAACGAAGGATTATCATTGATGTACAGTGATTCAAGGTTTTCCAAAGTTCCTATTTCTTCCGGCAAATAGGATAAGTTGTTTTCTCCAACGCTCAAAAATACCAAGTTTGTGAGGTGACCAATGGCCCTTGGCAAGGCGGTGAGTTGATTAGACTGAACTATGAGTTTTTGTAAATCTTTTAAGAAACCAATTTCATTGGGCAATTGTTCAATACGATTTTCTTCCAAATCCAACACGCGTAGTTTTCTTAAATTTCCAATCATGGATGGAATTCTTCTTAGAAGATTGTTGGACAATATTAATACCTCTAAGCTTTGAAGACATTGAATATCATCTGGAAGTTTTGTTAGCTGATTAGTTCCTAAATTAAGTTCCACCATGCTTGTCCAAGTACCAACATCTAATGGTAAAGATGTCAGTTGATTTTCTTTCATATTTAATTTAGTTAAATGTTTGGCACGGGAGAATATTCCATATGGTATTTTGTCAATATGATTATGTTCTAAATTGACTGTGTGGATATTTATAAATTGGGAAGGACCCCCAGTAGGAAATGCCGAGAAATTATTACGTGAAAGAGTAATACTTGTTAATTCACTTAGGCTCGACAGCAAACCCTCAGGCAAATGATATATTGAATTGCCCTCGACATTAAACTCATCCATTAGTTTACATTTGCTCAATGTTTGAGGGATTGACACCAAACGATTGTATCTCAACCCCAATCTTGTCAACTGTTTCAAGTTCCCAATAGTATCTGGTATATCTAGTAATTCATTATGTTGCAAATCCAGAGTTGACAAATTGATACAACATCCGATCTCTTGTGGAAGATGCTCCAAATGGTTATGAGATACATCAAATGTAACTAAATTAACTAAATTGCCTATGCCAGCTGGTAAAGACTTTATTTTATTTTCTCTCAGACTTAACATGGTTAAAGATGTTAGGTTTTTAATATCCTCATCGACATATTTAATTCGATTAAACCTCAGAAACAATGTTGTTAGTGATGTCAACTTATATACCACCTCAGGTATTTCATTAAGCTTATTATGTCGTAAGTCTAAGACTTTCAAATGTTTTAAATTGGCCAAAGAGTTTGGTAGTGCTGTTAATGAATTTTCACTTAAAGCAAGTGTTTGCAAACTCACCAGGCAGCCGACTTCTGGGGGCAAAGACACCAGCTTGTTTCCATATAAATACAACTCCAGTAAATGATTCAAGTCCCTCAAAGTCGCTGGTAAATTGGTAATGTTAGATTTACTTAAATCCAAGCGAGTTAAACTTTCTTCTTTACATCTCACAAATTCTTTAGTTACATCAAGATCAGCTTGAATTGGCTTATTCTTCTTAATTGTAGGCTTTGGTTTGTTTGATTCAGGATGTTTAACTGTAACCATTTTTGGTCTTACACTTTCAGTAGCACTTAATGATCCAGAAGAAAGTTTCTTGGGTTTGAATCCTTCATTTACTGCTAAAGAATCACTTTCAATCATTTCTTTATCCAGATAGCAAGCACTCGAAGGTGCTGCATTACGTGAGTTACTCATTTTTAGATTTTATCAGTGAACATTGTTCATTTTTAGAGTATTATCAATAATTCTAGGAAACACATCACATTTCCACATCATGTGAAACTATGTATTCCATATGAACATCTTGAATAAACTTTGAAGCTAATTAAATTTATTAAAATGCGCTAATTCTTACTTATTTTTCTTATCACTGCTATAGTCCTTCACAAAAGAAACTTAAATTGTTAATAACTTACAGACAACAAATCAGCTGATCAAACTGTTGCTATCTTCATGTTTTACATTTTATAACTTTGAAAATTAACTCATTTAGCCATAGAAATGATAGAACTGAATAGTTCAATATTGTAAAAGGTTTTGGAAAATCTTAATGTTTTTGAATATTTTTATTTACTTAAATAGTTTATGATGAAGGTAATACTATTGTTTTAATAGTTTTCATATTATAATTGTTGTGTAATGAAATTTGATCGTTCATGGTGACGGTAGACATTACGAGTCGATTGTCAAATGATTTAAGATGTCAGGCAGGCGTAACATGAATGCAGCTAGTAGTTGTAGACGAGGTTGTTTTTTCAGATAACGGTATTAAAAAGTGTAGTGCGGTGTCGTTGTTTAAACGTTTTTATTAATTTTTATGTTTCCACAGTATTAGTGTAACATATATTTTTCTCTTTCTAACGCTGCACAACTTAACACATTACCCTACCTTTAACTATAATGGTGGTTTCGGGAGTGGCGTTTGTGATAGAAATGCAAAATTTTTAAATAATTTGACGTGTAATTTCTGTAATAATACACTTTTCAAGTTATGTGTTGTGTTTGCATTTCCTAAACGCAATGTTTCGTTGTATTCCAATTTTCAAAGGCTGCAATAGGCAAGTTGAGTATGTTGATAAAAGACATAGCTCCTTACCAACAGTTCCTGAAGAAATCCTAAGATATTCAAGAAGTTTAGAGGAATTGTTACTCGATGCCAATCATATCAGAGATTTGCCAAAGGTACAATCTTTTAGGGTATGTAAATAGTTATCAGTAAACATGACCTTATTTTAGAATTTCTTTCGTTTACATCGTTTAAGAAAACTTGGGCTTAGTGATAATGAAATTAATAGGCTGCCACCTGATATACAGAATTTTGAAAATTTAGTGGAATTAGATGTATCAAGAAATGGTATGATTATAATTACATAAAGATGTTTTGATATTGCAACCAAGTTTTTTTAGATATACCAGATATACCTGAGAGTATTGGTGCCTTGCAAGCTTTGCAAGTAGCAGACTTTAGCTCAAATCCAATTCCAAGACTTCCATCTACTTTTTGTCAATTGAAATCATTAAAAACTCTAGGACTCAATGATATGTCACTTACATCCTTACCTGCTAGTTTTGGTATGCTCACATCATTAGAGTCTTTAGAATTACGTGAAAATTTATTGAAGGAATTGCCTGCCACACTCTCTGAACTGGTAAAGCTTGTTAGACTTGATTTGGGTGATAATGAAATAGAAGAGCTGGTGAGTCAAAATTGTTATATTTTACTCTTGTGTGATCGCTATTTAATATTAAAAGATAGTGAAGCCCTTAACTCTTAATGAACTGTATTGAATTGATTCACAGATGTTTTATTGGAAAAGCTGTGTACATTTTATTTTATTAGAGCATCTTCAGGGGTATTTAACTGAATAAATACTGAGTACAAACATTTGTGAACCAGTCCAAGAGTTTTTCTCATCTCAATTTTCACTTTAAAATGCTGCTTATATATTTTCAGCCACCACATATTGGTAAATTACCAGCTTTGCAAGAATTATGGTTGGATCATAACCAGTTGCAAAGGTTACCCCCTGAAATTGGGGAGCTGACAAGTTTAACATGCTTAGATTTGTCAGAAAATCGATTAGAAAGCATTCCTGAAGAAATTTCTGGTTTAAAGAACCTAACTGATTTGCATTTATCGACAAACGTCCTAGAAACATTACCTAATGGTATTGGGAAGTTAGAGAAGTTAAGTATTCTAAAAGTGGACCAAAACAGACTGACCATTTTAAACTGTACAATAGGGTGCTGCTGCAACCTGCAAGAGCTCATATTGACTGAGAACTTTCTTAGCGAACTGCCAAAAGAAATAGGCAATTTAGTTAAATTGACCAACCTGAATGCTGATCGCAATAGTTTGACTGTGATTCCAGATGAAATCGGTAATCTTCGTGAACTGGGTGTATTAAGTTTACGTAATAATCGGTTAGTTTCGTTGCCCGATACATTGGGCAAATGTGAGTCATTACATGTCTTAGATGTTTCCGGCAATCGTTTACCCTACTTACCAGTTTCATTAATACAATTGGGACTCAAAGCTGTATGGCTAAGTGAAAATCAAGCTCAACCATTATTAACATTTCAAACTGATACTGATAACGCTACTGGAAAAACAGTTTTAACATGTTTTTTGTTGCCTCAACAGGAATACAGACCTCCTTCGGGTAAGTCGTCCTTTTAATCTGTTTGTCAGTAAATTTCAACATCATCTTTTTTTGTTTCTTTATTCAAATTAAAGAACAATTGAAGGGTAGTTATGATATGTGCATATCCTATATTTAAATTGCAGATAATGTAGTGACATTTAAAAAATGAATATCTATTGACTTCTTTGGGCAGTTTATTAAACTGTTCATTAAATTTCATAATTAGGCTAGCACATAATAATTATGAGTGATAACAGTTCAGTTGATCGAGTAGATATCCATTTTTAGGGCCGTGTTGGTCATATTGAATTCCATTAAGAGCAAGCGTTGTACTACAGATGGCGTTTGCCTCGCCGTTTATGGCATTTTATCAGTGATAGTCGTATTAAATGTACTTTACTTAAACACTAGTTCTCCCCCCCCCCCCTATAAGTTACTGTGAGCTCGAAACTGTTACCACCATTGTTTCGAGTAGTGGAAATTCACTTTTGTGAACAATTTGTTTAATCACTTTCTTTGTGTTAAATATTGTTTGAAAAATTAAATTTAAAGGAATTGTTTGTAAATAGGTATGCAACACATCGTACACTTCGCATAAGAAATTGCTGATACTGACTACATAATACTACTTTTCCCTGTGCTGATAGCACTCATAATTTCTTTTATATTTAATATTTGGTGAATAAAAGTAGACTGAACATATCATTAATCCTTCATTAATTGTTTAGTAAATATTTACTAATTATATCAGACTAAACTAAAGGTTTATCCTGCTTTAATAAAGTATGTTTTTTAAATCCATAAAGGCACACCCTGTATAGTAAGATTTGCATATAAATTATATGTTTTACCTACAGCACTGTTTATTCAATGAGACCTATTTTAGTGTAATTGATTTGAATTTGTATAGGTCATAAGCGACATTTTCATGTATATGCTTTATGTTTGGAATGAAAATATCAGTTAGGTAATTTTATGTTACATAAATTATATAAATACATATCTAGTTACGATAAGTAGTCTTCATTGAAGGAGTAATTAATAAGTTTTCTTAAAATTCACGTAAAAGCTTGTATTGAAGTATTATTTTTAGTTCCAGAGGATGCTGGAAGTGACGACGACTGGGAGGAGCGCGAAGCCAGTAGGACACATTCTGTTAAGTTCACTGACCCTCAAGAACCTGACTCCAAAGAGGTAATTGTTTTTAAAAAGCCATTTTTATATTCTTTTTACATGTTAACATTCTTTTTCGATTACAGACGCCATTTGTTAGACAGAACACCCCCCATCCTAAAGAGCTAAAAGCCAAAGCTCATAAGCTTTTTGCAAGGGGTCAAAATTCTTTAGAAGAGAGCAGCGACATTCAGTCGGAGCCTATCGTTGAGGCAGCTAATCCCATCGTTCAAATACCGGAAACGAGAGTAGACAGAGATGGCGATAATTACTTTATCGAAAATAACCAAAACAGCAGAGAAAGTTCGGAAGAAGAGGAAGACGATGATGATGGCACTGATAATGTAAGTTTCAAGAAAATTGTTTTAACGTATAGATATGCAGTAATTACAGACTTGTAGATGTATCATCTAATACAAGGGGGGAGTAGATTATACATTATATTTTATACATTGATGATATCTTATAGATACCTTTAGACAGGTTTAGTACGTTCTTTGAAAGTAGTTTGTCTATTTTTATAAATACTTACAAACAATATCTCCTTTCTGAAAGTATAAATATAATTAACATAACATAATTCCACATTCAGGTAGAACGAATTCCAAATTGTTTTTTAAAGCGCCACTTGCTGTAAATTGTTTATCATTTTCGCTTATTAATGAATTAATTAATTTTGTTTTTCGTTTAATTATTTCGCCACTCAAAATAAAACTGTTATTTTTTTTATTATGAGAAATGAACTGTAAGCGAAGATTTAGTACTTTAATTTGTTCATAACACACGGTGGTCTGGCATATGCAGTTCACAGTATTGAGGGTCTACTTTAAACGCAAATATATCGTTAAAAAATTTGATACATGGTTTTTAGCTAAAGTTCCAGTTATTCTAAACTTTAAATAAAATATAGGCGCCAGTTTGTCGTAAAACTTCACTTTCTACGTTTTTAATTGAATCGTAGCGTCAGTTTTTAGGTTCTCCGTTTAAAATAAGTTAATGCTTTCAAATGTTTATCGTTCGTGACAATTAAAACAAAAAATTAAATGATGATAGCTGCACGTCACGTCGTCCGAAATTCATTGTAATTTGTAACGACAGTTATGGGACGCCCTGTAAACAAGAGCGACTTTCACATTTTTCATACCATTGAAGCAAAGCATTGACCTTTTAAAACGAGCTGCAAGAACATATTTAAAGTGTAGCAGTTCAGTTTAAGTATCTGTTTATCGCAGCAGCATTTGTGCCGTTAGATAACTTTGTGATTGAACTGAATGATCGATTTATTAAATAGATCATATATGTACCTACATTAATTTTAAAAATTGGATGCTTTTTTTGATGAATCAGATTACCAGCTTAACGTTCCACATTAATGTTACAAAGAAATAAAATGGAACAGTCGTGACATTTGACATAGAAAGTTGAAATTTGGTGTAGTTATAAAAAGTAGTAGTCCAGCTACAGAACTAACGGATAAAAATTTCCAATTTAGGTAGTAGAGTACAGTTTTATATGGTGGAAATAAGGGCATTAACTGGGCACTGTATTTTCATTAAACGTGTAATAATTCCTTCAAAATAGTTTGAATACAATTCAATAGTTTATAAGCCACCTCAAATAACATTTATAGACTAGGGCGTTTTGCTATCTACAAAATTTCCAGTTTTACTAGATTATGTTTTAAGTAACGCTATATTGAATGTGGTAGAATTTTTCGGTCGTCTGGCTATTAAAATATAACGGGTGTTTTACATATTTACCGTATTTGTTCATACATATAACGGGAACATTCTAACAAAACGTTCTTGATTATGAAGTTGAAATCTTGAAATCTTTGTAGAGGGTGATAGGTAGAATAAATGGGCGATTTCAATGTCAAATAGCCCATTGATTTCTAATCGTGTTTCCCATCAAATGATACCAACGCGATCAAAACAATTCTCCAGGTTACGACCTGACCTTTATCAGTTGTGCAACTTATTCATGTGATTGGAGAGATTTTGCATATTAAGTCAGTTGACTTTGGCGGTTTATATTTGATACGTAAATAATTGAATTAAGCACCATGTTACAATTTAATTTTAATGTGCATGAGAGTTAATTATTAAATAAGCGCCTTCTTTGACTAATTATGTACATAATTACCCTCCGACTTAGGAATGTTGTATACTAGATGAATTCCTCTCTAATTAAGAATTACTTAATGTTAATGTTTGGTATCTTCCCATGGCTGTTGTGGTACGCTAGGAGCTCTCTACAAAGCGAGTGGGATTCACGGGTAATGTGGATAGCGGTGACGATGCATGTTCAGCGAAACCTAGCCGATTGCATCGTCGAGATACACCGCACCATCTCAAAAATAAGCGCGTGAATGCGGCCGTCGACAAAGACAAGATCACGTCCATCATTGCCCAGGTTCAATTTTACTAACTAACAGTTCGAAAAGTGTTTTTTGTTGTCATATACGACCCTGTTTGTTTCCGCTTGATGTCTTTGTAGGTAAATGTTAGTATTTTGCTAGAATATTATTAGGACGTAATTTCTTGAATGTGTTTTTCCTGCAACTTATTTATTATTCAGTAAGCTCGAATTACAAGCAAAAAACAATTGCAAGACTATACCTCCTTAAACATTTTTTTCTCTCTTCCAAAGTATATTTTTAACAATTAACAGTATGCATTCCATTAATTGTACTGTGTATTTCGATTAGACATCTATTTCTACCAGACTTTAGCACTTCCTGCTACAATATGTTTTTGTAATTTGTGTGTTACCAATTTACCATATACCGTGCACTACATAGGTTTTTTTCTAGTAATACAGAAAACAGAACATTATTTATGTAGTAAACTACGGACCTTTCAAAAAGTATGAAGACACATTTTTATTTTTTATATTTAATTATGCACTTGTCGTTTGCAGAGTGAAAAGTATTTGTTTCGTTGAAAAAGTAAAGTACCTTTATTTTTCGTTATAAATTTATTCAATTTTTTTGCATCTACTTGTTGCTTTTATTTATTATATTTTGCTGAGTGCACTTGGCGATGCAAAGTATCTTTTTCAGAAATATAACACTTGCTTTATTACTTGCTAGATAGATACATATTTATTACCATATTAGAATGGGTTATGTAACTGCATATATGATAGTGCATACATTGTTTTTGTGCCCCATTTCAATTCATGTGCCTATATATATACAGGGGGTGTTGCAGAAATTATCAATTTTTGTCTACGAAAAAATATGAACATAAAGTACTACCTATGTGCCTAATGAAAAGTTTAAGTTTGGTAAAAGTTTCCCTTTCCATTTTGCATTATAACGCATCAGTGAGTTCAGTAGCCACTTTAAAATTAATGTTTACATCAAAGAAAGAGTAAAAATAAAAGTTATACTTTTGCAAAAAAAATAAATTTCGAAAATTTTCAAGCTATTTTAAAAAATTACATGCATGCTTAGGTTCGATAGAAAAGTTTTCAAGATTTGAAGGTAATCTAAGAGTGAGCCTTGTAAAGCGCAATGGTTGAGATTTGCGGTACACCTTGTATATATTCATTAGCAGCATGTGATAATTGTCGTTCAACGCTTTTGCAGTTATAGATACATAGTTATTGATAATTTACGATTAGTGCAGGTAATCCAAGCTAATGTTTTCTTTTAAGGTGCTCAAGCGTAGAGATGACATTTCTGAAACTTGTACCACTACACCGCTGAATTCGCTGGAGAAGGAACAAGTCACAATTGGCAGTGAAGGTAAGTGAGCTGGTGCAGTTCGTTATAAATTAATGTTATAAAACTTTTATTGTTCAGTCAGCAGCGAAGTCGAGCGCTGCGTGGTGTATTGCGATTAGACCGCTCGCGATTCAGCTGATAACGATAAGACGCAGGTGTAATAACATGCATGTAGGTCGCACCCATTTAATGAAAACCGCAGCAATGACGAAAATAAAATAAAGAAAAGCGTACTTGGAATAATGAAACCGTACAAGTCTAATTATTGTAAATTTAATTGTTTCGTGTAACAGTGTACATAGGGACTTGTAGTGTACAAGGATTTACAAAAGTTTGTCGCAGTTAGAAAATTATATTATAATGAGTGTTAGACAGAAACATCAAAACATAAGTGTAAAAAGTAGTGGGCGCAAAATCAACATAAAAACGAAAACCCTGAAAGGCAAAAGGGCCGATGTAATTATTGTTAATCGTAATTTAATTATCGATCCGGATGATGCGTCGACAAAATATTTTGTGAAATCTGCAGCAGGTAATCTACCTATGTGACACATAGTTACGTACATTGGATAGTATTTACAGTAGTAACAAATTGATTCTACAAACATATTTATCCATGTTGCGTATTATTTTTCCTACCTGTGTGAGATACGTTGTTATTTGTTTATTACCTGAGCACACAGCGTCGAATTCCTCACTTTTAAATGCTTGTGTTATTATGTCAGAGGTTCATTATTTGTGTAGGTAGTGCTTTATGCAGTACAGTAAGTAGGTTCATAGGTACACGAGGTAGTGTACAAATTAACATAGATGATTCATTTTTCAAACATTACGTTATTTTATACTTTTAACTGTTTTAATGAAGCGTTTTGTTTTTGTATTGTTTTTGCTACCTAAAACCTTTTAAAAATGAAAATAATGGAAATCCCTTTCATAAAGTACATTATGAATTTAATATGTGTACATAACATTACATTTACTGCTTCAATTTTGTGATGTTAAAATATAATTGAAGCAGATTATAACGTTGATATAAATGCTGGCCGGTGTTGTGCTGATCTCATGAAATTTGCATAAAATAACGGCTGCACGATTTTTTCTGAATTATCAGTTTTAACATTGAGCTACTTATTTCTACCGGTGAATTCATTATGTTTCTATCTACAGTTATAGTGAAAGGTGTTTCAGAAGTCTCTTTCTCTTTCTTCCTGTTCTCGTAAGTTGCAGTTGATTGCAACTGCTATTATTTTTTTAGATAATAGTTGTTGATGCCCCCCTTTCTAAATTCATTTGTTAGTTAAATAAGCTTTTATTTGATTATCCGTGCATACTAGAAATGTGTCTTAAAACTTTTGCATAATTAGATAGATATATATAACTTCATCAGATTTAAGAGGTCGAGAAAAACTTTTTTTTATACTACCTACAAGTTATAGGTAATTAACAAGGAATCACGTTTCTTATAACACTGAGAGGTGATATTAGTGTAACGACCTTATTTGAATCAGTTTTTTTTTTTTTATTTTACTTGCTAAACCATTTAGGTACCTACATGCAAAAAAATAATAATAAATTTGTTGTATGGTATGAAAACTTGTGACACGGTGTATACATTTGGGACCTCATTAGTATGATTGTGGTGTTAGGATAATCGAAAGTTGATGATAAAAAGCGAAATCCGTTTGAAATTCTACAACTCCTTTACTGTTGTTTCAATTTGATTAATTATAGGCCCACCCACCTATCTAACAAACATGTTCTCTTTGTTATTATTCTTTTACCTATATGTAAGCTTAATGTTGTAATGTTCCGCTTTTTAGAGTTTACGTAATTGAGTTAATTTATAGGTTGACATAATCGGATGCGTTACCTATTATTAAGCAAGGTGAAGATATCTTTAAAAAAAGAAATAGCCACAATACATAGTAGTATCTAATAATAGTAATGCAAATAAGTATCTATTACCATAATATTTGGTTAACATAAAGCCTTCGCTTATAGGACAGTAAATATTGTTATTTCGTTTTCACTCACTTTAGAGAGGTACCTGTTCATATTAATAAGAAACTTCGACATGTTTCAGTTGATTGCTAATTTATTTAATTGTGAAAAAAAGGACATCGTAAAACTATGATCTCATGATTTCTGTAATGATATAATAACAAAAATATTCCATAAAAAACGCAAAACAGTAAGTTTTGTAACTGTCATAAATATTTAAATCATTTAGGTTCATGCAGCAAATTTTAATAAAGCTAATCGAAAATCTTCAGGCCACTTTAATATCCTTAAAATGACATATAAATAAAAAACATTTAAGTTACTTAAGTAATAATATATTTATTTCTGATTATATATTTTAATCCGAATAACACGCCCATTGCTTATGTTTATGTTAACTTATAGCTGGTGGTGACATTAAATCAGCGGTGGACGTGGTTGAAGAGATCTACGAAATTCATATTGAACGATCAAATACAGGTCTGGGCTTATCGATAGCGGGTGGAAAAGGTTCAACACCTTTTAAGGGCGACGACGAGGGCATTTTCATATCAAAAATAACAAGGGGTGGCCCTGCCGATTTAGCCGGACTTTGCGTCGGTGATAAAGTGCTCAAAGTGAACGGAGTTTCGGTTATTAATGTAAGTCACTATGATGCCGTCGAAGTTCTTAAAGCGTCTGGTCCGCTATTAACTCTGGAAGTAAGTCGCGAAGTGACTCCTGAAATTGTCGAAAATTCCGATATCAAAAGCGATATGCAAAACAACAATACCATCGCGAAACCTCCTAAACCTGCTTCTCCTTCCCCTCCAGAATTACCGGAAGAAAATAAAGATAACTTCACACAAAGAGTTTTGATCCATACCACTCTCATACGTGATTCGCAAGGATTAGGGTTTAGTGTTGCGGGCGGTAAGGGATCGCCTTGCTTCCAGCCTGGCAGTGACGATCTGTATATATCACGGATAACCGAGGGAGGTGCAGCACATAGAGATGGAAAATTGCTTGTTGGTGATAAACTTGTCTCGATCAATGGCATCGATCTCGCGATGGCCACCCATGATCAAGCGGTCAGTTTGTTAACTGGTCTGGAACGATTTGTTAGAATTGTTGTTGAACGGACAGTAAACGTGCCCTCTGGTAATCTCAATCAGCCCTCGTCGATATTCGCCCTGCAAAAGGCTTATCCTGGATTATATACAAACAGAAATGCGGAGCAGTTCAACACCATAGCATCCGAGAAAGAGAAAAAGGTAAAAAAATATTCTAAAACCTTGTTATTTTTATTACTATGGTAGCTTGTCGACAATTCTCCGACGTTCTGAGTATCTCATGAAAGTTAACTCGTTAATATTAAAATATGTAGTTTTTTTATCCCTACTCATGTTGTTTTTATTACAGAACTACAATCAGCCTTTGTCTGAATCAAAATCGACCAACGGTTACGCTACACTTCCGCCCAAAGTTGATCTTCCCCAACCCGCTCCGCGAAAGCTAAGTACTAAAAGCCCAGACCAAACTCAATCGTTTTCTTCGAGCACTTTGCCCCCTATCTATACAACTGCTAGTCAACAACAGCATACAATTCCCACAACTACTCCATCGACCACGAAAAATTATGCTTACCAAAACCAAACGCCAACAATGACTCCAAACGCTAGCATCAACAGTAACCACCACCACCAGGAAGCTGCTGCAGATAAGGACCGCAATAATAAGGCGGATCCGCCACCATTTTCGTCTCTCGAGGGAGACGATTTACAGGTACTGCCAAGGCCTATCACAAATGAGGAATTCCAAGCCATGATTCCTGATCATTTCCTTAAAAAACCTTCCCCTCCTACCGAACCTAGTTCCGCAGTGACCGTAACGATTCGCAAGCCGGATACGATCGAATTGCCCCCACCGTCTACGGGGCCAGGAAGAATCACCGAAACCATCACCAAGAGTACATTCACTGAAACCGTGGTCACTCGCATAACCGATAATAAACTGGTTGTGCCCGTGATCATTGAGGTATGCGAGCCATCCAATTTTTTCCATGCATGCTCTCTCATTTTCTACCTGCAATTGCCACCTATTTTCCCATACATTTTATCAAAAAAAAAAAAAAATGCGTGAGTAGATAGACCCCTTTTGCAGTATTTTACTTGGGTGCGGTCTTATTGTTCATTTTATCACCTTCCCATTTAAAGAAATACGTTTCAGTAATTAAATTTTAAACAAACTTCCTGTTTAAAAAACTTTATTCCATTATTTCATTAAAATAATTATTAAAAAAGACTGCAGGTTACTCTAGACATTCTACAACCAAACGTAAGTATTGATATTATTATTGATTTAATTTGATCTATCTTATTTTGTATATCTGTCATTTGAAAACAGTTTATCCATAAGAAAAATATATGTAATTGTCAATGAAAATGTTGACCATTAAAAGTTAAAATATGAAATTTGTTAATTGTGAAACAAAGTAGAATGAATCGTAAATACTTTTAACTGTCCACTGCTGAAGTATTTCATTTGCTTTAGCTTAGTTCAAATATTACTCAGTTGCAACTAAAATTGTTTTATTAGCACAAAAAAGTCTAAAACATAATTATTAGCAAGTGGAAAGAATTTATTATTGACGTCACGTGATTGGCTTATTAATTTTCTTAAAAAGTATTATGTGTAGTTGTTGCAGTTTTATTCACTGACGACAATAATATTTTTGAGGTTTATTAAGGTTCTACGCTTTTATAAAATGTATAAACATTTTTTGTTTTCTTGGGTAAACACTATCATTTCTTGCAACAGACTATTAGTCTCGCGATTATTTAGAGCTTTGTCGTAGCTTTTAATATAACAAGTGGTTTATTACACATTCTCTTATTTTCTTTACTATTAGCAAATTAGCGTTATATTTATTATTTGCACATTAAGTATGATTATATTATTCCTACTACAGTATATTTATCTGTTTCTTTACAATTTACAATCAGTAGATGTTATACGAATACCATGAAGATGGAAAAGTGCTGAAAATAGTGTTATGATTTGTAGGTTTCTGTTAAGGTGACTATGTTTTTAATATTATATTGTCTACACTGTTACTGGGTGATCACTACAGAATCATTTTGTTTCGATCACAATTTTATTGCCCACTGTAGACATTGAAATTAGTAGGAAATAAAAAATTTTTTCAGAACGTAATTTTAAACAAGTCCGGAGGTTCTCTAGGATTCAGTATTATTGGAGGAACTGATCACTCTAGCATACCATTTGGTGCAAAAGAACCCGGTATATTTATTTCTCATGTAAGTGTAAAATTTTCAAAAATTGATAAATAATTTGTTCTTTAAATAGTCTTTGTCGTTAATGAAAATTACAATATTTAAGATGGTACCAAATGGGACTGCTGCAATGAGTGGAAAACTCAGAGTTGGAGATCGAATTCTCAAAGTTAATGATAGTGACGTAACGCAAGCTACCCACCAAGAAGCTGTCATGGAACTTCTACGACCTGTGGACCAAATTAAGCTAACGATACGTCATGATCCACTGCCAGATGGTTTTCAGGTCTGCTGATATCGTTGTGAAAATATAATTACTTTATTCAGAACGCTTTTGGGTACTTTTAGGAAATTGTTTTGATGAAAGAAGAAAACGAGAAGCTTGGAATGCACATAAAAGGCGGCTTGCAGGGGCAAAGAGGAAATCCTCTTGATAGAACCGACGAAGGTGTATTTATATCAAAAATTAATTCTGTTGGTGCGGCTCGTAGAGATGGCAGATTGAAAACTGGTATGCGGTTAATCGAAGTTAACGGTAAATCCCTACTGGGAGCCACTCATCAAGAAGCAGTTAGTGCATTAAGATCCTGTGGAAATGTCATTCGAATAACTGTCTGCAAAGGATACGACCGAGCAGAAGTGGAAAAAGCAATTTTAGATGGGAAACTGACAAGAGGGGGTTCGATAAGCAGTCGGTCTCAGAGTGTTAGTTCCTTAGATTTTCCAGATGAAGAAGTTAGACAAGTAATAAATAAACCTATCTTATTTTCTTATTTATTTACGGTATGGTGAGTTAATGACTTTGTAGGAAGCAAAGTTAAGATCTGAATTGGACCAGTTTGAGAAGGAGGATGCTGAAAAACGACTGGGATTGATTGAAAGACAGTCAGAAGAAGATTTAAGTCTCGTAGAGGCTAGACACGCAACAACTCCAGTAGAGAAGGTAATGGACGTAGTAAGAGCAGTGGAAAACCTTGCATTGAGTTCTACAACCGAAACCCCTGTGGCTCCAAAATCGCCTGGTGGTCCCAATACTGAACTCAAAACTACCACTGTGGTAATGAGTAAGCACACTTTGGCACCGCAGTTGGATACTGTAAGTCAATAATAGAAAAATAACAAATTATGCCTCATTACATTCTTTATTTTATAGCCACCACAATCGCCAAAAAGCGATATAAAAAACATGAGTGTCAGCGATAAGAAAAAGTTTTTTGAAAATGCGATGGATGAAAGCCAGAAAGTTCCAAAACCAGGTAAATAAAATATACTTGCTAGAAAGTCACCTCTACACTTCAATGAATCATTATCGATAGTAAACTTCGTTTCGTTTACAGCCAAACCGTTTAGTTATCTAAGTGCGGATGAAATCGAGAAAATGAAGGACGAAGAAGAAAAAAAATTTGCATCGCTAGTTCGAGCTGAAGTAAGCTCCTTGGGAACATTAGATCATTCCGACAGTGAATCGGTCGATTCACAACCATCCAGGTAATTAAACGTGTACCATTTGTTAGCTGTTGTAGAATTGGATGTTGTGTCTAAAACGTTGGTACTTCTATATAACCCATTTGTATAAATTAATCGTTGCCTTATCCCCTCCCGCTAACATCATCGTTGTCGTCGATGTTACTTCGTGTGTCTTGTAAAAGAACATGTTTGTCCAGGCTAATCTCTGAAGGTGTGAAATTGATTTGAAAAAATCTTCAGGTAAATGTATAGTTTTTAAAGTTATACGCCACAAGACAAACCATTTGTAAACGTAAATATGTTTACAAGTAATTTTTAATGTTTCTTGCTGTACTCCCCATTAAACATTAATTCATATTACGATTCTACTGGTTTTTGGTATAGACACAGTCGTCTTGATTAGGTGTTTTGATGCGTCCGAAATTAGATCATCTTATGTTAGTTTTTCATAGCCTTTTTAAGTTAAAAATGTTGTTGAAGGTAGGTAACTAGTTTTCTATATTTCTATCCTCATAGACCGGCTAGTACAATTGGAATTGTTCGAACTGCTAAAGCGGAACGTCGATTACGAGATAAAATAAGAGCGGAAGGCCTTCTAACAGACGAGGACGACATTTCTCTTTCTCCTGCGCAAGAACGTGCACTAAGAGCTGAGAAACGGGCAGCATGGAGACAAGCAAGGCTTAAATCTCTCGAACAGGACGCGATACAAGCTCAAATGGTCATTAAATCTATGACCGATATGGTAGAGGTTGGTTTAAATCCTTCCGAGAAAAAGGATCAGGACTCGGTAAGAGTTGTGGGCACATTTTAACTTGTAGATAATTTTAGTATTGGATTGGGAACTGTTTCTGTCTTCTATATTTCCTCCATTCTCGAAATCTTCTCGTATGAAATTAGACATAATATTCTAACGTGCAATTTACAGCATGTTATAAACGCGTTGTTAGGTTTCTTTTAAAATTCACTGATTTGGGTCGGAGAAAAAAATGAAAAAAATTCGGATGAATTAAAATATTTAATATTAAAGGTAAATTCATTCCAGTCTTCTTTTCGTTACCTTAACACATACCGTACAGTCCACTTACAACTAGCAATTTTTGATTACTTTTAATTTGTTTTGTTTTTTTTTGCCTACTACTTATGTAAATGACTAAGTAAACTGATCAGTTATAGTATTTTAACGCTTTAAAGAATGTATGAAGGTACTAGAATAAGGAAAGATTGCTTAAAAATCGTCAAATAATTTTAAAAATTGAAATTCAAATTAGTGCCTTTTAAGTTCTTTGTGTTAAGAGGTTGTGAGTGTAAAGTGACTATCATCTCCGTAATTAACATCTAAAAATTTTATTTTAACTAAAAAATCCATTACCGTTGTCAGTTTGTTTTCACTAGTTTTTGAATTAAACTTGGCTATATTTACTTTGTATGACAGCAAAGAGAATTATTATTTTAATTTTCAAATATGTAAAGCAATATGTTTGCATCTTTAAACTAAATTAATTTCAATTAATAAAACAACCAAATTGCTTTTAAAATTATTTTCGTGAGTCGTCGTATAACAGTTAGGGTTGCCCAGGTGATTGATCATGTCTTCCCAGGGTTTCTTACTCATGTCCCACCTTGAGGAGCCCCTATGGGTATGTTTCTGACGGGCACGTAAGCGCAAGGGATGATATTTTTTACCCTTATGGATATATCACAGTAGCACTAGTATGTGCTCATGTTATACCGCACATATTAGTAAAAAATTATTGTCAAACATCAACGTATTTGTCTAATAATTTCTTGTATTGGAAATTTAGAAATCGTTGACGGTTAATAAAATGTATTTAAAAGAATTGAATGTCAAAGTGGCTTGTAACTAATGTTATTGACTAACATAGATGGTTGTGACACTGTTCAGGGTAACATCACTAATAGCAGTGCGTGTATTCGACTATGGCCGTCCAGTAACGATTTTCCAAAACTAGCAATCACATCGAAACCAGGAAATACAACAGTGCGAGAAAACGAGAAGTTGCTTGGAGAAAAAGTCACACGTCGCACTGAAGAATATATTGACGATGCGACAGGTGAAAAGCGTGTACGAACCGTTGAGTATGTAGAGAAGTTGATTGAGAAAGAGGTACTAAAAATTACGTTCAGATACAAATTGAAACGCTTGCACATTATATCTGGTTAGTGTCACAGCCATTAGACTTGAAATGCAGCAGTAGTTAGATTGACTACTTTTTTTTCTTTCTCGCTCTTTACTTTTTGTAGGTTTTTATTTTAACTCTTCTAAGCTTCTTTTCACATGGCCGGTTTTTAACATTTTCAAAGACTAAAATAAGGTTTCGAATTTTGCTTATGATGCATGTAAAAAGCACATACCTCTCACATTTTTTAGGAGGTTGTTCATGGTTTCTCTCTTTATTGTTGCAATTTCCGTTTTGTATTTTCTAGATTATTTTTTCCAAATCACTTTTGCAAATTATGAGATTAGCGTGAACAAACGTACAAATATAAAGTTGATACTTGACAACTGGGAATCCTTTCTTTTGTTTTATTAATAATCATCTTCGTTCCTTTATTTAATCAAACTAAATTTGAATCTGTGTAATAAGTTATAGTAAAATTTTGGATGAGTAGTCTCACTGAAGTTGATTGGTCAGTTATAAGGTTTGACGATATTTCTTGGTAACAGCCCAAAACGTTTTATAATACAGTTTTTAACTACCCAGTTATCAGTTTCTAGAATTAAATATCATGTCAATCATATCATTTGACCAGTGTAATTTATTTATCCTTTTGGTAATGTATTTGTTTTTCTGCTAGCTAGTGATAAACTAAATAAGTTTTTATAGTAATTTATACACTTACAATATAACAGGATGTTGATTATTTTAATAAATGGTAAGTGTGAGTGAAATATCCTGCATATGAAAATATGCATGGAATTACATTCCCTTTACAAACATTCTCTGAATCAAGACAATCAGAAATATTCCAATTCATATGTTAAATATACTTGCTAAAATTGATTGTTTGGCAAGTGGATCGGTTAAACAAATCCAGTTGTGAAGGGCTGTGGTATAACATCTTAGAAATAAAAAGATAAAATTGGATAGCTTCTTATCTGAAGATGCCATGCTTTTACATTAATTTTGTTTTATTGTAGCGTCCTAAATGGAAGTCGCGAAACTATGAATGTAAGCAAATCAACATATTCTACAATGTGCTGTATTAATGTAGGCCATTTAAATCTGTAGTATCTATTCATTAGTTAGTGATCTAAATGAATTTCGACCATTTCATAACAAAGGTTATTACTATCTGCTTAAAATAGCATCACGATCAGTAGCTTTGATCTGGGTTTTTTGTATAATATTGTAATATGAAGCTATCATGAAGTAATTATCTAATTTAATTTATTAACTTCAGTAATTAGTTTAGTTAACAAAAAACCGAAGCGATTTTTGCTATGTTATATCTCTATAAGAGCACAGAGCATCATTGTTAACACAACACTTTTTAATTTCTTTAATTTATTTTTGCTTTAATATAGATAAGCATGAGACACTTAAATGTTTTTGGGACACACTGACTACGATGAAATAATGCAATAGAAATATTTTTTGTTGGTATTTGGAAATTTAAACTCAATTCCAAGTGTAGTTATTAAGTTATTTGAGACCTTTAAAAATTAGGGTGTCAAAAATAATCACATTTACAGTGCAATATTTAACAAGTAAAAAGGCTAAGGCTTTCGCTGTCGGTGTTATCTGAAGATTGTTCAATATTCGGGCTTGATGGTCGTGGTCTACAATTACTTTTCCTCTTGGGGTGAGTCCACGTATAGACACGGTATGCTTTGAGTTGAGATTGAGCAGTTGGTGAAATGTTGGATCGGCGGACTTACCTCAGGAGAACTAACTTTGGATCATGGCCTTCAAGTCCGTGTATCAACCCCCCCCTTTAATTTAAAGAGGGAGTTGTCTGTATTTTTTTTATTTTTTGTTCAACTGGAAAATGTCGATGTGTATCAACTTATCGTAACAAAATAAATTGAGATTAAATCTTTTATTAGATAGAGACGTGCCAGGAGAAAATAATTTCTTTAGAACTAACAAAGCCGGAAACTACAGTTTTGCATTTGGAAATTAATGGTAATAAAATCATAAAGGAAGATGATGAAGAAACTGAAAAGTCTGACGTAACAACCCCTACTGCCGCAGAAGAAGATGAATTACAGGTGAAGGATGATAGGAAACATTTAACGAGTGCAAAGAGAAAGAAAAAAAGAAGTAAAAAAGGAAAGAACTAGTACAAGAGTTTTTTATACATCACAAAATAAATATCTTCGGTGGTTGGGTGTTCTTATTTATAACATGAAAACATTTTTTTTAGTATGTTAACATAAATATGTCCTACAGTTATAGGTATTTTAAAAAGTCTCAAACGACATGTATTTTTGTATTTAAGCATATCAGGAAATGATACTTCCACAGTATTTAATTGTAAGATATTTTTAATATAAAACATTGCATTTCTAATTACATAGATTTGTTAAAGTTAATGAAAAAGAAAGTATAATCAAATAAATTATATTTACACAATTTAATTCACCAATCTATTCATTTATTTTTGAGGTAACAATTGGCATTTATGTACTTATGAAAGCAATTTATTTTACTTATTAAACAATTTATAACCATGTCCTTCATTTCTGTAAATTGTGATGATATGTATAGCTAATAAAACTACTCTCATTATTTAATAGGTACTTATTATATACTGTTTAATATACGGAGGTATATTTGACTTTTATTTATCTCTATGTGATTATATATTTTTTGAAACCATATCATTATGTATAGTAATTCAAATTGTTCTGATCGTTCAGAGAAACAAACAAGTGAAACTCTGTTCAGTTTTATTGTTTTTTATGTTTATTCTGTAATTTTACACGTCCGGATATCTGCTCTCACCTATTGGAACTTTATTTATTTTGCCCAATATGTAAGGGAGCCTTTAAGTATTACTTCAGGAAGCTTAATGTACTGGGAGAGGGCATAAGAATGAAACAAATGTTTAAATTTTTAATGATTTAAGATTTAATTTTGCCAATAACAGTGTAATACAGAAAAATTATTTTCATGTAGTTTTAAAGAAGTTTTAGATAGGAGATTGCCAACATTGATGGTCGAAATTAAATTTTAAATTCTTCAGTCTCATCAACAAAATTAAATTCAAAAAATCAAAGAAATTATGTTTATATAACACTTAAATGCTCTCTATATAACATTTTCTGACACACCTTTCTTTGTTTGAAGGAATTTCTCGGGAACTAGCTTCAATTTGGTGGTAGACGCTCTTAGAAAATCATCTTTACTGTTTAACACTTCCATATACACACATAAGTACAACAAATATACACTAAGAAGATACTGAATCAAATCGACAACGGTACCCTTTTTGACAGTCCAAAGATCTCCTTTTTCAGGTACAATACGTTATAGAATTTTCAACTTATTTTAACCTTTTATCACAATACAGACTTGTATAATTTAAACTAGGTCATGGATTATCCTTTCGTTTCAACTCGCATATGCAACAGGACGGAATGAAGAAATTGTCCATTGTAATTTTCTCAGCCCCTTCATCATCTACCGCCCAGAGTCTTTTTTGTACATACCTCTGAGTGCACTGTGTCGTATAGTGGGGGAGCGTTTCATTTAAGAATCGACATTGATTGTTAGGCGTACTAAAAGAATTTTTTATTGTTGAAGATTTCATACAACTATCCCTTTGTAGTTAATTTCATGTAAAATTTAGGGGTGACATTTTTACTAATCATAATACAAAGGGTAATAAATGGGCAAATTCAAAATCAAATAGTTTACTCACCTACAAGTTTCTGTAACTAGGATTTGCCGGAATTCTTTTGTATTAACGATTACTTTGTCTATATTGTCTACATTTTTAGCCTTTTCTGGTGCTATAGAGGACTGAGTAGCTAGACATAACGTCTCTCCTTTGTCGTCACTAAACCGTTCCTCAATTATTACATCGGTTGCCGGATGATCATCAAAATAAATACTAAGTACAGGATTTTTCAGAAGAATCTTCTTTATTTCTTCGTGAGGGTAGTCATCAAAGCCTTCGCATAAGTCCCCAATACATCTTTTTCCTTTCTGGGACAGTACTTGAGAAAATGGTGATACGTGCTTGGAATCAGTTCGACTTACTAAAAGATATCGTCATTAAATATACACATATACACTAAAGCTTAAAAACATTAATTAGAAATAAATTTTACATTTAAACTGTCAACTTGAAAGTTAGAAGTGTGCGTTAATTTAAAAAACCCGCGTACAAAAACCGTAGAGTACTACAGGGAAGAAGTGAACAATTTTCATGAAAAATTATAGATGGTGCCACCAAGCACTCTGTATTAATTTTTATGCGCATACACTAGTTAAGTTGCGTTAGTAGCTCGAGTGTCGTGCGTGTGGCCGTTATCGAGTGTTACTTTCTGATGCATAGATTACGATTCGACTGGTGAGTAATTTGCTACTGAATATCTAACTATCGTATATGTATTAACGACTATAAGAGCATTCAACATTCCTCTTTGAATAATAGAAATTAAGTTACACTTTTATGTAAAACAATTTTTCTCTTTAACCCCAATAGGTGTATTAAGATGATGATAAGTGAATAATGTTTGTTTGATAATTATAGGTATGTAATAATTTCTGACTGATCAATTGATTATAAAAACCTTCTGTCCTTGAATTAGTTATTTTTCTTCAATATGATGAGTTAGTTTCAAAGATTAAAAACTTCCTCTATAAAAAAAATTGTCGAAGTGTATTATTTAATACAGGGTGTCCCGAAAGTAGTAGGTACTCTTTTCACTGCATATGAGGACCCTATAACACTCCAGAAAATTTAGTTTTCTGTTAAGTAAATGTGTTATGTCTTTGGAGTGCCTAATTTGAACTTTTTTAAAGTAGCACTCTTCATAATATACTTAACTAGATACGTGCTTTAGAATTCAAGAGTAGATCAGTAGAGTTTTAAATTTTAGCACTACATATTTTAAACTGAAGCTTGAAAGAAAGCTCAAAAATTATTTTAAAAGGCAAAAATTGCTCATAAATATTAAAGCCAACGATATAAGAAAATCATGCAGAAAAATAAAAAAATTCTTCATTTAAATTCTTCACCTAAAAAGTTAAGGACACACGCTGCATACCCTGTATTATTTAATTTTTACCCGTAAAACTGCTGATTATTTAAATCATGAAACTAAATAATATTGTTGCGGTTACCTATAGCATGTCCCTGCATTTCTTCAAATTCAGATGCGTACAAAAAGCTGTCGTCAGCACTTTTCAATGTTGATGAAGTGTTTTGGGGAGGCACTAAAAAGCATTCACTGACGAACACCTAAAAAAAATAGATTAATACGTTTATCATTTACATCTATGGGTGTTATTTTATATCTCATAACAGTAGCATGTCGACAGTTAAGAACTATATAAAATGCTACACCTACAACAATGATTTACTAGTCATAATTACAACAGGAAAAAATACATTGCTTTATTAAAATGTGGGACTTCACACAGCATTTCTCTTCTAGGGGTTTTGCCATTTCGTTTAAAACTGTTTTACATTTGAATTAGTTAAAAAAAAATGAATCATTCGTATGCACGCAGAATATTTATGCCTTTCTATAAACAAATTTCCGAAACAATGTTTGCGAAAAGAATTCTAAACGACTTATCGCACGAACATAAAATTACCGTAATATTTCTTTGCAACATTATGTAATTGTGCTTTCGGTAAATCCTTGCGAAGCACAATACTACACAATTACTCCACGTTGAATATAATAATATGTGCATAATGCATTAATAATTATAATATATAAATAAATTTACCGTTGGGATTTACCCGATTACTTGGCGGGAGAGTCGAGTCCAGTTACATGTAGTAGGTACGTTAGGAAAAGCAAAAATCAAATTACAACTCATTCATAACCTTTGCATTAAAAATTTATATACAGGTAACGCAAAATGTTCACCAAACATAAAAATTGTACATTTCTTTGTGAGCGTTTTTTTCTTTTTTGCGTAACTTTTCTCAAAGGCTTTGAATTGCTTGTACGAAATTCCCTATAGGTACCACGTCGTATTTTTCAAAGAAGTAACGCCGCCCTTAGATGATCGATGATCTCAATCAATAGAACCCTCAACCCTTTCAACGGTAAAATACTGAGACTAATCGAAAATAAGTCTATTTATAAATTTATTATCAAAAGTTTGTATGGAATTAACAAAAACAACTTGATTTTTCCGAGAATATTTCGATTATTTTCAAAATTTAAATTTTATTCTGAAAATGAGATAGCTTGTATATGTATATACACTAAAAATGGCTTGTAAAAGAACAAACGCCAAAAGGTAACAGTATCTTTCTTATGTAGCCAATGACCCCCCTGTTGCCATTGCAAAAATGCATGAATACAGTTGTTTCTTCGTGATAATTAAATATGCAATAGTTTACTTTATTCCATATATATATATATTTTTACATAACTGTACTTTGTCCATCAAACAGAATATCGTCATGTAAGAGAGCTGTACAGCGAATTTTTATTTAAACTTTTTTTGAATTTTTTCTCTGCCGTACTTTTAGGTCTTAGTGATTTTTTTGATTGAATTAATTTGAAAATAAAATAGAAAACTTGACTTCAGATTAAAAAGTCATGTAATTTATTAATTTTGTAAATGCCAAGATTTATTTTACACTATTTGAAGAACATAATATCATAATATGTTTATAATATGCTATTGTGTATTTATAAGATACATAAGTGAAATTAGCTTTATTTAAATATTTTGTTTATGCATCTACGTCAATTAATTAATTTAAAATTACAGAAAACATTCACCTACAGTATTTCTGTATCTTATCCGAATGCCTTTATTATTCAACTAATTAGTGCTTATTTAACAATAATAGCTAATAACTTCCTTAAGTTGGTTGTTTTGAAAAAAAAAGTGTTTGTTAATAAAATTCTCCTTTTGGAATCTAAAATTCTAAGTATAAAAATAAAAATAATAATTACCATTGCGACTAAACAATAAAATATCTCCAGCGGTAAATGAGAATCCATCGTGGTAATAATTAAGTAGGTAGGTAGCTTGTAAACGTTTTATCACAACAATTACTATACACTATCGTTCACCCTTAACTGCTCATATGTATTGGTACTAGAACTGAAATAACGTTATTACTCGGTTGTTATCGAATGAAAGTTTAAACTAAATCTGTTCAAATAATGCACATCGACAGCGTTTTGTTACAAACCTTGCGGCGCATCTTTATATATTTATTGTAAACTATACATATACATAATGTATATCATGTTATGTTTAGCATATAAGTCAGTGGCGTAGTTACAATAAGGTCAGCGCCCCTGAACCCTAGAGCTTAGGAGGTGACCTCCGACCAAAACAAACGTAAAACTTCATCCTTTTACCTTAAGTAACGGTCCAGGCAAACTGTAAAATGTAATTTTGTCATTCCTATTTGTCTTGCCTACATGTAGTTTTCAATCTTTTTATATATATTTTTTTCTTTCAAATCAGTTAGCAATATTCGGGGATTCCCCGTTCTCTCTATTGTGCCCTTAAAAGTACAAATTTACGAATCACATTTTGCTTATTAAATAAACTATAAATTTTATCATAAAATACTCAANATATTAAATAATAAATTAATTTGTTGTTACTTCACCATATAGCTACGCCACTGACGTAAGTGGGGGATAAGTAAGAAATGCATGGGTATATAAATATGTGACTATTATATTATAATAGTATATAAATACGTTTATAAACAAGGACAACTCCATTTGATATATATTTAAGTATATGTTGGTTTTGAGTTGTGATCTTCGCGAGATCAAGAGCGGTCAAATTAAAATTGCAAATAAACAGTTCCTCAAAACCACTCAAAAACAAAAAAAATGGTAAATTTTATTGCTTTTTCTCAGTTCTTCAGTTAATTAATATGTAATCACTGATGCCCATCTACCGTAATATGGTGCGGGGTTCCGTGGTTTAAGTTTCATTCGTTTCAGCGCTTTTCTCATTTTATTCATTGTTTCTTTTATTTTATCGTCTCAAAGCCCAGCGTCTAGGGACATACGAAAGGTTTTTAAAACTTCAACCCCTAAGAGAATGAATAGGGTATTAAGTTTGATGGACCGGTCAAGACACAGCGCAAACCGCTCAGTCAGGAAGCTTGAAATTTTGCACAAATGATTCTTATACAACGACATCATCCATTATAAAATGAGTTTTCAAAAAGAGTAAAACGATGGTTTGTGCTATAACCGAATTCCACGCGAAGGGTAAGCGATTACAGATTACAGATATATGAATCAGGTGCAATTAAAATAGTTGTAGATTGCATGTAGAATGTAGGTAACTGGTATTACTCAGTCAGTGTGTCAATTATATTGCTATTAGGTAACTGTAATCGTTTTCTTATTTGTTCAAACTTGTAGCGAGATCGAAAGATATCTTAAAAATTCTGCAAGAGTGCTGATGAATGTGCTATGTATTAAGTACCTATGTTGGTCGGGATTTTACGCGCCTTTCCATATTCCATTAAATTATTTAACAATGACGATGAATAGGAAAAGTCAAAACCTCTAAAATAGTCCGGAAACAATCTGCATAATAAGATGCTAATTTTATTTCTCATGTTTTTTCGTATATTGTATTTCTTTCTATTAAGGCTTCGTCAGTTGGATTTTCCTGTAAGACCATTTCAATTATGGAAATTGCTACTGACTAATTAAAATTTATATAGTGCGCCACTAGATGTGACTTTTATTAAGTGGGGTCATTTTTCCATATACACTTTCGTATCTATGTCGGTTTTACTGAAAGTCTGTTTCATCCAAATCTACAGTTTATCATGAAATAGGTCAGGATTTTCCCATTTTTAACATAAGATTGTATTTTTTCAAGTTTCAAAACGTGTAATTGACTCATCCTGTCAAAAAATAGGCAATTGAAACATTGTTTTGTTTTAGAATGGAGTTTCAACATGTATCACCATCATACTGTTCATGTTAATACTAAATCTATCTGTAATTTTTCACCTAATAAGCCATTTTAATTAAGCAGTTGCTCTTACTAAGGTTACAGAGTATTAAGATCGTCATTTAGCACGAAATCGTTTTACAGGAAATGATATATGATAAATTAAATAGTTTTTAATTTCATTAAAACCCTTTGAATAATACAAAAATGAAAGCAACAATAAAATACATTGCTGAATGTTATTTTAAAATGTTAAAAACAAATATTTCGCTTTTGTCAGTATCTTTCGGTATTTCTGTCACACCATCAGAAAACTCTGTGGGGGGGTTGAAGTAATCTTCGATTGCCACATTTTTCACTCCTCCAAATTGATCCAAAACCAAAACTTGTTCAACATTTATTTTGGCTATATAGAAGTGATGATCTGAAAAAAGCCATTGTCTTTTTTGTAACGGTTTCGTTCTTTTTAATTATTATTTACCCTTTGGCCACGTCTCCATTTCTGGATGTCTAGAAAACAATGAATTTCTAGCAAATTGATAGTCGGGAGCATCCTGGGGAATCTGAAAATTATTAAAATGCATTCAGTAATTTGCTAATTATTAATTAAGAAAACATTAAAAGCATTTTAACAGCTGTTACGTTTTGTTCAAGATTTTGAGAGTTCGGTTATTTTAGGATAGTTTTCGGTGATGTCGTGGTTTAAAAAGAACTTATTCCTCATGTTCAGTTGATCATGCATTTCCGCTCGTGCGATATGTAATCTGCAGGCACATTATCGGATCTGTGGTCATGCATCTACTGATTCACGAATTGTTTCCATGAAGTTTAGTCAAAGTGATGAATTGGGATCAGGACTTCGTCTCGACCACTAATTAGGAAGATGCATGCCGAAACATTGTTCTCCGTCATATATAAAGTACACCAAGTTTTTCTGGAAAAACCAACGTTCCCCTTTAAATGTAGAAATCATCAATTACATTTCAGAAGCAGAAGTTCGAGCAAGACTCAATCAACCATGTTTGGTGGTAAACGTTTCTACATACATCGCTTAATAATGGGTAATCCTGACGTCAATACTTTTCAGTTTATTTTGTATCTCCAATGCTTGAAAATCATTGTTGCCTTACCTTCAATAATCTTCCTGTTAAAATAGTTCTGGCACAGCGAGGATCTTGAGGATCATATGATTGTTGTTTACAATAATCAGATTGCGCAAGTGTTACCATGATTGTAACTCGGTTGTTTTTCTAAAAAAGAACAGTGATCAGTACTTTCTTTGAGCTGGATTTGCCAGTAGGGCGTATTAGTAGTTATAGTATTAGGATATTTTTTTGTAAAAGTTAGTTAATAATTAACTTTTATAATTTGTAATACTTACTTGTACATCCTTGCCGGTCAAATCAAGTTGCGTCATGTACAAGTATGGTACGCCTGTCCCATTCGATGGTGGGCCATCAGACAGTGATTTCAAATTAACAAATGGGTAGTGATTAGTTCTGCTTAATGTAGATATTGTGGCTATAGAAGCCCAATCTGTAAAAATGAAAACCAAAGCTTTATTACATTTTGTTTCTAAATCTGTAGTAGTATCGGGTTGGAAAATTTGCTCAATAAGTTTCAAGAGTTAGAACGCGAAAAAGTTATAATTTTCTGTTCGCATCCTCTTACTTACAAAATTAACTTATGATAAAAACTCTTTCTAGTTTTTTCGTGAAAAATTTTACCATACACTCTACCCGATTACATTTTAAGTAATGATAAGACATTGCTTTGAATATATAACGGATGATAACCCTTTATAAATAGCAAAAATGATTAAATAATCCATTTACATCTGATAAGTTGAAAATAAGGTATGCGTATATAGTTATTTATAAAAAGGTCACTTTGTAGTTCAACCATTTTAACAACTTCTATTATGTAATAATTCATGAGTTGGCAGGAATTTTGATTTCTTTTTTTAATGAAAATGTTTACTTAAAGCATACTGAAATCGTGTGTCTTTTTAAATATGAGTCCATTAAATAGAGGGGTTAAAATATTTTAATAACTGTTAATTAAAAAATGCGGTTGCCAAGTTTCGTCATAGATTTTGAATTTAAAGCACACGTATATATCAGATTTAAATTCACTTACGAATATATATAAATCTTAATCAACTTAATTTAAAAAAGTTTATGAATTCCTGAAAATGAATTACGCAAGTCTTCGGTTTGATCTTTGCAGGGCTGGACAAAGCCCTCAACAATAGTATGTACTCCAAGCACTAATATCACAACCCTTATTTTTAGTACATTCGCCCTTAAAACTGCAATTACATATTAATAATCTTCAATGGCTTCGAATTATCAATTAGATTAAAGTTTGAATTGAAATGTTTCTACGCTCTGAAAGGGCTGAAAGCTGATTTTAAAGCGCAAAACTCTGCCCAGCTCTGAATTTTTGTAATAAATCTGTTGTACATATTTAAAGAAGATTTTAACTAGGATAATGTCTATGAAATAATTTGTCGGCGGGTTTGAGGGTTATCTATAGGGTGCGAAGCCTCTTCAATATTAAATCATTGCTTTTCAATAGAGACATTCCTTGTCCAACAATAATTTTTTGTACCATATCTCTAAATATCATTTAATGTAGTATTTTGTCAGCGGGTTTAAGGGTTATTTACAGGGTGCTATATCCTTAAATATAGGGGAAGTTGTTCTTGTCCCACAATTACATTTGGTGCCTAAGCTTTAAATATCATTTAAAGTAGTATTACGCCCAAAAAATTATTTGTCAGCGGGTTTGAGGGTTATTTATACGGTGCGACACCCCTCAATATTAAATTATTACTTTTTAGTGGAGGCTTTTGTTGTCCCACAATAATTTACTTTAAGATCACAAAATTCATCACTAAATCACGCTCGTTATAATTTTATTAAACTGTTTGCCTACCTGAATTATGAATAATATACCTAGCCATCGATGCAGCGTTAGAAGGATCTGGGGGACCATGAGAAGTAGTAGTTTCTGGTGTTGTTGGTGGTGCTGCGCCCGCTCTTGTTACCACAAAGCAAATTGAAATTGCGACGAGAATTTGCATTTTTCTTCAACTGGGATGTATAATAATTGATTGACGAAATTGTTCTTACTTTTAAAACTAATTTTTTTGCACTGANAATTATTAATTAAGAAAACATTAAAAGCATTTTAACAGCTGTTACGTTTTGTTCAAGATTTTGAGAGTTCGGTTATTTTAGGATAGTTTTCGGTGATGTCGTGGTTTAAAAAAAACTTATTCCTCATGTTCAGTTGATCATGCATTTCCGCTCGTGCGATATGTAATCTGCAGGCACATAATCGGATCTGTGGTCATGCATCTACTGATTCACGAATTGTTTCCATGAAGTTTAGTCAAAGTGATGAATTGGGATCAGGACTTCGTCTCGACCACTAATTAGGAAGATGCATGCCGAAACATTGTTCTCCGTCATTAATTAAAGTACACCAAGTTTTTCTGGAAAAACCAACGTTCCCCTTTAAATGTAGAAATCATCAATTACATTTCAGAAGCAGAAGTTCGAGCAAGACTCAATCAACCATGTTTGGTGGTAAACGTTTCTGCATACATCGCTTAATAATGGGTAATCCTGACGTCAATACTTTTCAGTTTATTTTGTATTTCCAAGGCTTGAAAATCATTGTTGCCTTACCTTCAATAATCTTCCTGTTAAAATAGTTCTGGCACAGCGAGGATCTTGAGGATCATATGATTGTTGTTTACAATAATCAGATTGCGCAAGTGTTACCATGATTGTAACTCGGTTGTTTTTCTAAAAAAGAACAGTGATCAGTACTTTCTTTGAGCTGGATTTGCCATTAGGGCGTATTAGTAATTATAGTATTAGGATATTTTTTTGTAGAAGTTAGTTAATAATTAACTTTTATAATTTGTAACACTTACTTGTACATCCTTGCCGGTCAAATCAAGTTGCGTCATGTACAAATATGGTACGCCTGTCCCATTCGATGGTGGGCCATCAGACAGTGATTTCAAATTAACAAATGGGTAGTGATTAGTTCTGCTTAATGTAGATATTGTGGCTATAGAAGCCCAATCTGTAAAAATGAAAACCAAAGCTTTATTACATTTTGTTTCTAAATCTGTAGTAGTATCGGGTTGGAAAATTTGCTCAATAAGTTTCAAGAGTTAGAACGCGAAAAAGTTATAATTTTCTGTTCGCATCCTCTTACTTACAAAATTAACTTATGATAAAAACTCTTTCTAGTTTTTTCGTGAAAAATTTTACCATACACTCTACCCGATTACATTTTAAGTAATGATAAGACATTGCTTTGAATATATAACGGATGATAACCCTTTATAAATAGCAAAAATGATTAAATAATCCATTTACATCTGATAAGTTGAAAATAAGGTATGCGTATATAGTTATTTATAAAAAGGTCACTTTGTAGTTCAACCATTTTAACAACTTCTATTATGTAATAATTCATGAGTTGGCAGGAATTTTGATTTCTTTTTTTAATGAAAATGTTTACTTAAAGCATACTGAAATCTTGTGTCTTTTTAAATATGAGTCCATTAAATAGAGGGGTTAAAATATTTTAATAACTGTTAATTAAAAAATGCGGTTGCCAAGTTTCGTCATAGATTTTGAATTTAAAGCACACGTATATATCAGATTTAAATTCACTTACGAATATATATAAATCTTAATCAACTTAATTTAAAAAAGTTTATGAATTGCTAAAAATGAATTACGCAAGTCTTCGGTTTGATCTTTGCAGGGCTGGACAAAGCCCTCAACAATAGTATGTACTCCAAGCACTAATATCACAACCCTTATTTTTAGTNTAGGTACTCCAGGCGCTAATATCACAACCCTTATTTTTAGTGCATAATAATAATAATCTTCAAGGGCTTCGAATTACCAATTAGATGAAGGTTTGAATTACAGTATTTCTACGCTTTAAAAGGGCTGGAAGCTGATTTTAAAGCGTAAAACTCTGCCCAGCTCTGAATTTTTGTAATAAATCTGTTGTACATATTTAAAGAAGATTTTAACTAGGATAATGTCTATGAAATAATTTGTCGGCGGGTTTGAGGGTTATCTATAGGGTGCGAAGCCTCTTCAATATTAAATCATTGCTTTTCAATAGAGACATTCCTTGTCCAACAATAATTTTTTGTACCATATCTCTAAATATCATTTAATGTAGTATTTTGTCAGCGGGTTTAAGGGTTATTTACAGGGTGCTATATCCTTAAATATAGGGGAAGTTGTTCTTGTCCCACAATTACATTTGGTGCCTAAGCTTTAAATATCATTTAAAGTAGTATTACGCCCAAAAAATTATTTGTCAGCGGGTTTGAGGGTTATTTATACGGTGCGACACCCCTCAATATTAAATTATTACTTTTTAGTGGAGGCTTTTGTTGTCCCACAATAATTTACTTTAAGATCACAAAATTCATCACTAAATCACGCTCGTTATAATTTTATTAAACTGTTTGCCTACCTGAATTATGAATAATATACCTAGCCATCGATGCAGCGTTAGAAGGATCTGGGGGACCATGAGAAGTAGTAGTTTCTGGTGTTGTTGGTGGTGCTGCGCCCGCTCTTGTTACCACAAAGCAAATTGAAATTGCGACGAGAATTTGCATTTTTCTTCAACTGGGATGTATAATAATTGATTGACGAAATTGTTCTTACTTTTAAAACTAATTTTTTTGCACTGAACAGTTCCACATTAGGCTAAATGTTATATAGAATGCCACATTAAACGAAACACCATTGTCAGTAGATTAAATGAGCCAAAGGTCATGGTTGTTACCAGTAAGACTTGCAGTGTGTAAAAGTACAAGCATAGATAGAACGATTGTTTTGAAAAAATGATGCGTATTTTTGAAATTTATGATTAAACTTGATTTGACATTCGTTAACAGACGCATCTTGGGTGGTTTCGTTTATCTGTGTAGATTTTAATAAGTGGCTACTACTCCTTTTACAGACACTTTATATATTTACATGCGGTTTTACATTGCCATTTTTACGAAATTCGGAACGTCTCGGGTCCCATGCAAATATTAGAAAACTCTTAATTTTTTTCAATCGATTGATCATTGTCAGAGAAACATTTAGTGGGTATATATTTATACAGATAAAGATGCCCCGTACTCTGTTCACCATTATCTCTTCGTCTGCAGATTTCGTTGTGGACAATTAAAAATCTTTTGTTGTTTTCAAATGTTTTATCTTATTAATGTATTGATTAAGTAATTGTTATTATTTTTATTTCGGTGTAATGGACGAATGAATGGAAAGAATCTTTGTTCGAGAAGAAGCGGTGTTTATTTTATCTAAAACCCTTTGGGTACTACTAAAATGGAAATAATATTAAAATACATTGCTGACTATTATTATTTAATATTGTTGAAAAAGGTTTCGATTCGATCAGAAAACTATGCGGGAGGGTTGAAGTAGTCGCTGAGTGGTACATTTCTCATTCTGCCAACTTGAGCCCAAACCAAAACTTGTTCGATATTTAATTTGGCTACGTAAAAGCGAAGTGCTAAAACAAAGCAATTGTTCTGTTGTAGCTGTTTTTATTCTATTTACTTATTGTTTACCTGCTGGCCACGAATCCATTCCTGGATGTCTAGAAAACAATGAATCTCTAGCAAACTGATAATCGGAAGCATTCTGGGGAATCTGAAAAGTATTCAAATGTATTTACTAAATATTAATTTCGAATGCAATTTGAAATTTTCCCGAAAGTACGTATTCTAATAGTTTGGAGATCAGGGAATGAATGCTGAGACATTGACCTCCATCAATGAGGTTTGTTTTGTCCAATGTTCCGACATTCATCCCCTATCATTACTGAGTATCGAGCGGCTACCCTGATCTCAATACATTAAAAATTCTGAGCTTAATATTATTAAACATAAATTCTGAATATTGACGTTGTAAGTCTCCAGTAGGACTTGTCTCACCTCCACTAATCTTCCGCTTATAATAGCTCTGGGACAACGAGGACTTTGAGGATCTAAGGATTGTTGTGCACAATAATCAGATTGTGCAAGTGTTGCCATGATTGTAACTCGGTTGTCTCTCTAAAACAAATGAGGCCATCACTAGATTGTTTTCTTACCTACCAATTGGTAAATTGTATATACGTATAAATGACATACAATTATCCAAATCTGTGTTAATCGACTGTTATAATAGACTGCTTACTTAGTCGTTATAATGTTATTACGGTATTATTATTAGCAATGTCCGGTTAGTAATAGTAATAGTATTAGGAAGTCGATGACATAATTTTTCGTAAAAATTAGTCTAAATAATTGTAATAATTTCTAATACTTGTATATCTTGGCCGGACACTTCACGTGGCGTTATGTAAAAGTATGGCACCCCTGTTCCATTTGACGACGGACCATCAGCCATCGATTTCACACTAACAAACGGGTAATTAAGAGTTGCATTTAATGTGGATATTGTGGCCATAGAAGCCCAATCTGCAAAAGAAAACCCAAAATTTATTACAATATGTTGCCACTTCCAGGCGTGTAATGGTACCTATTTAGAAAAATTGCTTAATGAAATTGTCCCAATAAATGAAAAAAAGAAACAAACGTAAAAAATTAGTTTTTTTTTAATGAAAATTTTTGTTTTCATAAATTAAGTTTAGAAACATTTTTACAGAGTAGACGAAAANTCAACCTATTTCAATTAAATCAAAATTATAGCTCAACTATAGCCTTATTTTAAATTGTCCCGGCGCCTCCACCAAAATTTTCAGCAACGTATTAATTATTTGTATTAAAATACATAACTTCATAAACAATTATCTATATTTAAATGACAATTTGCAATAGCAATTTCCTAAATATTCCTATTTAGTAACTACATATAAATGGTTTTTATGGGATATTTCATGTCCACCTCTTATTTAAATTCTTAAATTCCCCAGTTATACGACGAAGGAACAAAACAGCAGTGAGAAATAAAATAATTTATTTATTTAATAAAAAATCATATACACTACACAAAGTTATGTAACTTTTGTAATTTATTGTTATAAGGATGTATAAAGGTTTTCAGCCAAATTCGCTCAAAGCATATCTTCAAAAATATGTTACTAAATCATTAATAATTTCTGAGTAATATTTTATAATTTGTTCGAGGATAATATTGAATTTCCCTTAAAAAACGTTTTCTAATTCTTTTGTAGTTTTGTTATTATACAGTTGTAGTATTTGCTGTATGTTGGGCTGCCTATATGTTATATTATAAATTGACTTTAATTGAAAAAAAAATGACAAATTGGCATTCCCAACTGCATCTACGAAAAAATATAATTTAAAGGTGAAAATTCATCAATCTACTTCAATGAAATCAGAATTATAGGTCAATTGTAGCCTTTGTTTTAAATTGTCCCGGCGCCTCCACCAAAATTTCCAAGCAGTGTTTCTAATTGTCCTGGAAGGACTGTAGAAGCAAATTTTTAAGCACAAAGCAATACATTTTCAAAATGTTCATACATTTGTTTTGTAATCGTTTTGGAAAATAATAAATTCTAGACTAAAACACACAAACTGCAATTTTATAAAGTAGTTTGCCTACCCGAATTGTGAATAACATATCTAGCCACCGCTGCATCATTAGAAGGATCTGGAGGACCTTGACTACTAGTTATCACAAACAAAAATGATAATGCCACGAAAATTAACATTTTTTTAACTCAAGCTTTTAATAATTAATTAACGAAATTGTTCTTTCTTTTAGAACTAAATTTATTGCACTGAGCGGTTCCACGTTAGTTAAAATTTTATATAGAATGCTACATTATTGTCAATAGATTAAATGAGCCTATTTTTTTTAATAACAAAAGTAACCTAAGTAATAAGTTTATTATCACTATACAGCAATTGTGTTTATAAAATCTCATTGACGATAAGTTTATAAGATGCTATCTGAAAACTATCTATTGTTAATACACGTTTTTGCTAATTGTGGAAATTTTGTTTATCATAATGTGATAATGTTGTCACCACACGTGGATGTAATTTTAATTTTTTATATTATTTTACATCTGTGCTGGTTAAACATTGTTTTTAATTATCTATAATTATTTATTGTTTATCTGTACAGATAAGACAAAATGTTTACTGAACATAGAAATTACAAATTTCTTTGTCGGCATTTTTCTTTTTTTTTGTCATACGAAGGAATAAGTTTTTTAACCGTGTTTGTCTGAAAATATCACCTGTTTCTCTGAAATCTGTCCTAAACTAATCGAACTCTCAAAATCATTTAAACAATGCGTAACAACCCTCAGAGATTTTAAATTGCATTTGTTGAACTTATATCACATTAATGTTTATATGAAATATATAGACAATTAAAAATCTTTT